CCTGAACCTGCTCCCATCAGTGAGTCACCACTTGGGGGTTCTGGCTTGCCCTCGGACTATGTCCACCCAACAGCTGCGAGATTTGGCCCAGGAGGCCTATGCCAAACAAAGGACTGCTTCTGAAAACACAGGAAAAAAAACCACAATCTATCCTGTCACTAATCAGAGTTCAGAACTTGCTCTAGAGGGCACCGAGCCAAGCCACAATGACAAACCTGTCAACACAATGTCAAGATCCTTCAGGGGTCGCTGTTCGACTCAACCTGCGAAGCGGCCAAGCTCTCAGCCACACCCTAGGCTTCTTCCAACCTTCACCCGAATGTGGGGAACTGGGCCTTACTTTGGAAGCCACACCCCTCGTTGAAGTGAAATCTCGGGCAGTCTACAATAACTTGTTCAATAACTGCACGGCAACGGACGTCAGAGTGCCTAAGGCATACCATCTGGGTTGGCTAGTGAGTTATGACTTCCATGACTTTGAACTAATTCTACCAATAATTGGACCCATCTCAGATTCAATGATTCCAGAAGAAAGCTCAGGCCACACAGTGTCAACAGCACCCTTCAAGATCATCACCATAACCTACTCCGTCAAGTCCTGTACAAATACAAGGAATAATTTGCCAAGGACTCTTTAGATTGTGGCTTCACTAACCGTGGTGTCCCAACGCACCCAAAAGCTCCACCCACTTTTGTCAAGCAATACAAGATCCCCCTTGAATCATACAAACCCGTACAGGAGATCATCAACTCTATGCTTGAGAAGGGTGTCATCCGAGCACAGAAAGTGATCATAGAAACTTGTCACCAGCTTGTCACATTCCTCAACAGCCAGCGCATCCGCGACAGTGTGGTCACAAACACACGCATAGCCACATGGCTAATGGCCCTCCAGGGGCGCAACGTAGAAGCACGATATGCTCAAAGTCGGCTCTGGGTAACGGCCTGGCAGCCAGCCAAAGCTGCTTCGATAACACACCGACTGAGATCGTAGAAGCAGAAAGGCCCCAACTACTGCCACCTACCTGCCACAGGTATTTTGACGAGAATGTCTGCCAAGGCATGCCCACAGCCTACGTCGATGGATGTTCCTACAACCACGAGGGCATCCTAAAGGCAGGTGCTGGTGTTCTCTGGCTAAATGATCGACCCTGCCCACCACAACACTTCAAGCTGGGTCCACAATCATCACAATATGCTGAGATAGC